ACGATCGACAACATTTCATGTGAATCGGTAAACGTTCTAACTCTTAACCTTGTTGATTATTTCCTTAAACTATTATAACATTACACGCACTAGCAATTTTGAAGAGCGGTTAACTCTTTCGAGAGCGCACAGTATCAAAGTTTTCCATAAAAAAGCCGGTTTGCTCTTCCTTTAATTTCACGAAACATTGCATCGCAGACAATGATGTCGCCGGCTAGCGTTGATAAAAAGTGTCTTTACACAGGGAAAGAAATACGTAAGAACTTTCGAATTTGAAAATAGAACAAAAAAAAATGCCAAAGTTTATCAAACTCCGAGAATCATAAGTTGAACTACCTGCTTCCTCCGCGACCTCTGTTGCGCTGTTGTTTCTGATGATAACTCATGCTCGTTGACGGAAGTTTGAACTTGATGTTCCATGAGTTTCAGACCAACATAATCGTCCAAAAAACGCATGTAGCGTCGACGATTTCAAATAACAGAGAGGAAACCTAATTCTTTATATGTGACATTTACAATGGAAAGGTTTCCAAGCAGTCATACGCTAGCGACTGCTTCTATTTCCTTCCCTTTCAGAAAATCCTGCGTAATAGACTCCCGCGCTCCTTGATCGTTCACGTCCGAACTAAAGAGAATTTACAACTTGATCAAGAACAAACTATACACAAACTCTTTATTTCGACTGGGTAAGCTTAAGGAAAGACCAACAATTAAAAGCGAAAAAAAATTAACATATAATTTAGCTATGGACAGAAAAAAAAACAATAGGAACAACAGCAAAAAAAGACATAATGCTTTTAACGAGTTGTCACTAGCGTCAGCAGGTAAAGGAGTAGAGGGGTGACCGAAGTCTTGTGTGTTTAGATTTCAAATTAACTTCATCAATTCTTACCAAATAAAATTGCACCACAACAGTTAAAAAACTTCTAAGTCAATGTAAACGAATTAGTTATCGTGAATTAGCACCGTTACAATTTCCCTCTCCCGTGATGCTTCGAAATTCTCCCTACTAGTTTGGTCGTTTCGAGTATGGCCCCGTCTTGTCAAAGACCCTTCCCAGCATGCATCCAAAACTTTAGAGGAAGAACGCTGTAGGACCACCCCTCCCCACTGAGTATATCAGAGTAGCTCTTCCGCCCGCCCTTGAATGCAAGAAAAAGGAAAGGAGAAACAACCTAAAATGATACCTGCTTCAAAAATGTGAAAGCAAGGAAAACAAAATTTGCTTTTTAGAAAAATGAAATCGGATAAAAGTTCACCAGGGTTTAAATCTGCTGAAAATCTCAAAATGGCTCGCGAATGAAAATGAAATTGGAGAATATTGAAACAGATTAAGCCGGAAGTGTTCATCCCATCACCGACTCCCAATATTTACCGTCGTGCAAAGCATTTCCGGTCGCCCATCGGGGGTGTTCGGCATGGACCACCGAAAGGCGTCATCACACTTTTTTTTCATTTTCGGATTTTCCACTTTTTTGTTCACAGGCAATGTTGTTTTATCCCCCAAAAGTTGACCTTCCGCATTCTCTTTAAAGTCTTTAAGGAGTTTTTCCTTGAACATCACCATCCAGTCTGTAGCCTTACCTTTTCTCGCAACCGTCCGAGAAGAAATAATCGTATATTGACTGTACAAATATGAAAGCTCTCCACATCGTCGGTATTGCCATTTCATCTCCAGCTTTTTCTATCGGAAGCTTGAAGAGCTTTTTTAAAAACGTCATAATGGCTGCGTAGAACCGCGCGCTGTAGAACCGCGAGAGCCTTGACCCAGTCTGTGGTCAAAAAATGTCAAAGTTAACTTAAATGAAGCTATACAACAACTGTAGTATTTAATTTGATAGCTAGTTTTTAACAGTGGTAAGAAATTACCTCAAAATCTCTAAAGGATTTTATATTTCGTTTTATTCTGGAAACAGCTGGGGCCGGAAAAGCTTAGGAAAAGCAGCCAACATCGATCGTCCCCAGGGCTATGGAAAATGAAAGGCAAGAGCCCGGGGATAAGATTTAACTTTGGTTTTGGTCGGCATGGTTTATTCCTCTAGATTTTTAAAACAGTCACGATGGCGTCCATAAGTTCCTTTGAAATCTAGAGTAAGGGTGACTTTGCCTTCTTTGAATCGTTGATAGCTTGGAGTCAATTTAATAAAATTTACTAGCTCTAGACTGTAAAGGTTTGTAATGAACGGTCTACATGTGCGGTACCAACAATTAATTTCCAAAAAATATAATTCCATGATGTTAGTTTGAAAAATTATTTTATTATGTGTTCAAAACCATGTGAAACCGAGTAGCGAAATAAACAATTTGTCTTACGCTATTGTCACACAATACCGGATAACTTTTCGTGCCAACAAGAAAAGTATACAATAGCAACGGCACAGAACTGGAAAAAGTCGTTTACACACATCGAACATCGTGCCGCAGAGCGGTTGGCCTAAAAGGTTTCGTGAACTAAATTAACCAGTTCCACTCCTGAAGATTTACTTCCGTCCCTCTCAAATTATTCCACTTCCGCTACGGTCCGAATACCTGTTCACATTATACCATAGTGTGGCACAGAACCTATCCGATATGTGGCGCTCCTCTATAGAGATCGGTGCAGCCTTGTTGCAAGAGCTATACGGTATGGTGTGAACACAGCCTTGGCAAGATCAGGGTTTGAAGTGCCTCAGCGGCTCACCCCTACCCAAACTTCCCTTGCGTTCTCTCTCCCACTGGGGGTATCTGGTCACCTCGCCACCCCGGGGGGAGGGGTACTGCCGTATATGGGCTATATAGGTATGTGCTGCTGTGAAGGGTATGGTTTTCAAGCAGTTTACTCTAGGATAGGGTATATAAATCAGAGCGTTTGGGTCTAGAATAGGGTATCATTTTTCAGGAAACTGATCAGTTGGTTGAAGATTTTATGTAGACTAGGGATTGTAGTATAAGGTTTTGTTTTAGCTAAACTGTGCTAGTGACCTCAGTAGTTTCTGGAAAATAGCTACTCTAGGATAGGGGGGATTTGGGGAGTTTACTCTAGTATAGGGTAGCAAAATTCAGCTGAACTAGCTCTGGTATAGGTTAAGGGTTCAGGGGCACATCCCCACCCACTGAATTCCTAAAGTACCCCCGCCTCCGGACTCGCCACCAACGAAATCGCCTCCAACCATTGTTTTGAACTTTGATTCATGAAGGGAAATTTCTTAACCGTTACTATATTTTATATTTCAAAGAAATGACCAGTGGTTGTGAAACTTTTCTGCCAGTTTTTTGATCTCTCAAATGCCAAAGTTTGCATTCATTGAACCTATACATTTATTTATATTACTATTTGCATTATCAAGAGCATGAGACGTTTGACCTAGGGATCGTCAATTAGGATCGACAGATTTGTATTTGAGTTAAATTCGAATAAGCTTGACGAAAAAGTAAAAAGCTTAGGTAAGTAACCCCAGGTGTTACGTAAACTGTGTCAATTATTCCAGAGTTACTTGTTGGTGACGAGCCGACATATTGTTGGCGAGATGACCGTAAACCCCTCTGGAGGCGCAGTCACAAGAATTTGCTCGAATTCAGTGATGGACGAGTCAAAGTGCGGAAAGAAGGGCGGGAAGGCGGGCGCAAAGGTTAGCGGGCAACCACGAGAATTTGCTCGGGTTTTAGCCTGACGATCATAGCATTGCTCGAACCTTCTACTTCCGCAAATCTTTCTCTGCTTTCAAAATCAAAGATGGCGACAACTGCGTTCACTTTTTACGAATTTAATCTGTTTTTACTTTGGGTTGATAGCCTTTGTCGTTTATTTCATTATGTCTTGTGTTTTTACGCCTCCCTCTCTCCCAGTCCCCTATACTTGGTCATACATAACATTACCCACCTACGGTTGACATCAAGGTGGCCTGCGTAGCAGGCGCTTGGAAGTTGTATGTGGGAAAGAACAGGGCGTTACTTCCAAGTGCCTGATATAACTACATACAACTCGGGGAAAAGACGCAAAGAAAAACCTTTGTAAAAATGAAGCCAAGCAAGAGTCCAGACAAGAACAGGGTGCCTGTTTTTGATCGATTAGGTCCTCGCCATTCTTGATTACTGTTAACCTGGGACAAGGCTTCTTGAAGGGGAAAAATGGCCAATAATAAGCGGAGCGCAAAATACCGGAAAAAGACAGGGGAGAGAGAATGATCGGGCCTCCTCAATCCTCTGCACGGTTCGCCTCTTCCATCGCGCTCGCCCCATTATTCGCCCTTTTCACCCAATTCTCTATTTTCCAATTGCCCATAATACACTCTGTTTGCCCCCCAAATTCTGCATAAACCATTGTTTTTAAATGCTCCTGGGAGTATTGCATTTTCCCAAGAGCATTTTAAGACAATGAGTTATGCAAAATTTGGGGGGCAAACAGACTGTATTATGGGCAATTGGAAAATAGTCAATAGGCGAATCTTTGCCTCATTAACATATGCTCATCATTATCTGATAAAGCTAATAAAATAAAACCTCTGAATATTGAAAGAGCATAACAATTTCAGTTATCTCTGAAAATTTGAATCCAATGTTGAAAATTGCACAAATTGCTCAAGTTAATCAGCTCTATCAACTTTTGCATTTAAAGAAGGCATGGATGGACAAAACTGAAGAAGACAACAACGGACCGCAGTAGGGTTAACATTTGTTGGTCACGGAGGTGTCCGCGTTCAAAATATCAGACTGCCTTGAGCACCGAGGAAAAAATCTAGACTGTGTTCCATTGTGTTCCATGATGCTATCCACGTTTCATTTGTTGCGTATCCAAACACAACTTTACTCTGAAGCCTTCTAAGCTGATAATTTTAAAATACTGTTTTACATCACGGTCTTAAAACTATGAAGTCTCTTCATTAAGTAGCCATTTCATGACTATTTCTTTATGTAATATTTACTCTTATTTCTTAACCCTCTTTGAGAATTTTTACAGTTCTCTGGGATTTTAATTGGCGCTGCACCAGGCAGAGAATCGTTCAAGATGATATCAACCGAGTTTACTTGCTGGATCCTGTTGCCTCTGCCAAACGAAGTACATTTCTTGCCTGTTGAACAGTTGGCATATCAATCATATAACCATGGAAATCTATAGCTCCCTGTTGGCAGAAACAGATGAAAATTAAGTCAAATCTCTCTTAAAGGACAGCTAGCTCTATAAGGCAGGCACTCCCTAGACAGACACCTAGTTGGTCCCTGTTTCCCTAAAACAGACACCAAGAGTTGATCCTTATTGTTCTTCAATCATTTTCTTTGCCCCTCTATAAGGTGGACACCTCCCTAAAACGGACACCAAGAGTTAGTCCCTGAAGTTCTTCAGTCATTTTCTTTGACTCTCTACAAGGCGGACACCTCCCTAAAATGGACACTTAGGTTTGGTCCCTGTTGTTGTTCAGTCATATTCTTTAACTCTATATATGGTGGACACCTCCCTAAAACGGGACACCTAGAGTTGGTTTTTGTTGTTCTTCAGTCATTTTCTTTGACTCTCTATATAGTGGACACCTCCCTAAAACAGGACACCTAGGGTTGGTTTCTGTTGTTCTTCAGTCATTTTCTTTGACTCTATATATAGTGGACACCTCCCTAAAACAGGACACCTAAACTTGGTTTCTGCTATTCTTCAGACATTTTCTTAGACTCCCTTTAAATAGAACATCTCTTTAAAATGGACTGCTAGAGTTGGTCTTTACTGTTCTTCAGTCATACTCTTTGTTTTTCTTTGGCTTTCTGGCACACACCAACACTGCTCATGACATTATGCCAAGGTATTTCCTTGGATCATCTATTCCACTGACCTTTCCTTGTTTTTCTTGCTCTTCAAAAGCAGTCACAACATCTGATGCCCATTTGAATTTTTCTTCACTTGGAGAAAATGCCTTGTTCACAATGTCTATTTGTCCAGGATGTATTATTTGTTTGCCTGTAAAGAGAAAGACCAGGAAATATGGG